CCAGAAGTGGCTTGGCTGTTGTACACTGACCTGGCTCCTAGTTCTTTCAGACTTTCACACCCTTGTTTTCCCCTTGCCTCATTTTCATCAACTCATTTTCCTTGAGAAGAGAAAACCTTGCTGTTTTATGTGTTTTAGCTTTAACTAAACAAACATCTATGGTAGACCAACGCTGGCTACCGCAGATGCAGGGATTAAGCATTTCCTTTCTGCAAGTTCCATCCCAGAGGCCTGTTTGCCAGCTCCTCCCCCACCACCCAGTTCCCTCTGCCCCTTGCTCCAGTTCCTGGGACTGTACTGCCTTGGGGTCCCTCCATACTGGCTCTTGAGTCTGGTGAGAAATACAACATTCAGGTTTTATTCCTCTGCTCTTCTTATCTCCCCAGAGCTTGCTGAAATGAGGAAAAAAGCAGAGAGGGAGAAAAAAGTGGAGAGGGGAGTCATTTCCCCAACTTGGACCTCAGCTGCTCCCTAAAGCCCCAGGCCCCCTTTTGAAGTCTTGCCCTTTTCAGCTCCTGCTTTGTCTCAGCAGCACCAGGTGACTGCTGTCCCCTATCTGAGCAAACCGAGACCAGCTCTGGCCGAAAGGTGGTGAATTTCAACCCTGGTGCTTGGGAATGGGGGAGGAGAGCTCTGGCTGTCAGTGCCCTGGGGACAGAATAGGAGGCACAGTGAGATGCCAGTGCTGAGTTTCAGTGCCCCACCTGCTCGTCAGTCGCCCCTCCAGTTCTTACATGGGGTGGCTTCACTCTGTCCCCGAAGTCAATAAACTCAAACTGAATCAAAACACTCAGTATAAACTGTGCCTTGCCCCCACCCTAGTCTAGCTCCTCCCACCAGACAGCTACAGTTAACCAGTTCAGTGCAAGATCTTCTGGTCAGTCATAAATATATTCAAATATATATATATATGTATTTATATATATGTATACACACAGACAACCCCCCTTTAAAAAATGAGAAATGGCTACATAGCATTGCATGTGTGTTTTCTGGCTCGAGCTTTTTTACTTAATAATACATCTTGGGTGATGGTTCCCCATCGGTACTTACACATCTGTGGAGCCTTCTCTGATAGAGTCAGTTGAAAAGAAAATCCTAGGGTGGGAAAGGCTCATAATGAAGGGGTTAAGCCTCTAGGGAAGAGAAGGGATGCCCATGGGCAGGTTTTAGGAGGTCTTGGAACCTTCTAATTCTGTGCATAAAATTGTGGGCACAAATGGATCTTTCCGGGAAGAGGGATTGTGTCTCTCCAAGGGGGTCTGTGACCCAGAAAAGACAAAGAGCCATAGCTCTGGGTTGCTTGGGATTTCATAGAGCAGGAGGCAGGGGCTAAAGCTGCAGAGGATGGAGCCCCTTGGTTCTTGGGCTCCAGGATAGCCACGGATCGGGATGGGGTGTGGGCAGCGCTGCCAGCCCTGTATCTTCTTAGCAGATGACTGGAGCCTTCCCACTCTGGAAGGAGGGTCCCCCTGCCTGCAGCGAGGGTGGCCCTGACTCTGAGAGTAGAGTACTGGGCCTTCCAGGGATCCGAGAACCCCAGTGGTCAGAACTGGGAGGCCCTTAGCATCGTTGAATCTGTGGAAGAACCGAGGCACAAAGAGGCTAGGGGGTGAGTCCAAGGTCACCCAGCCAGGGAAACGCAGAGCCTGTGGGCTGCTCCTGCCTGTGACATTCAGTTCAGAGTTCCTTCCCCTGCCAGAGCGGAATGAGGCCAGGAAGCAGAGGCCCTTCAGACGATACAAAGCTGCCTGTTGCTGCTTGCCTCTTGGTCTGTGGGTGGAGAAGAGAGGGTGTGGAGAGCAGAGCCCGCAGGCTGGGGCGGCTGTGTCTTCATCACACTTCACTACCTCCTGCAACATCCCCTCCTGCTGCCTGCATCCTCACATCAGGCTGCAGCCAACCAGCCAGGAGTTCTGAACACAATAAAGACGCGGTGCTAAGAGGCTGCGCTACAGGATGTAGCCACTAGAGGGAAGCAGGAAAGCCACTGCGGTGGCTCTGCCTGAGAAAGCTCCCAGGGATGGGAGAGGAGGGAGGAAGGAAGGGGCCGTGGGCCGTGGGCAGAGGCCTGCCTGGCAGAGGTTAGGGCACAGCAGTCAGGGAGTGTCTGCTTCCCTGTCAGTCAGTTATGATTTGTTCTGAGGGGCTTCCCTGAGGAAAAGGCAAGCAAGACATTTAATGATGATAATAGTAACACGTTTATTGAGTGCTTACTTTATGCTAGGCACCATATTAACTAATTAATCCTCACAACAGGCTTTTGAAAATTATCCCCATTTTGAAGGTGAGAAAACAGAGGCCAGAGAGACTGAGAAATCTGGTCATCAATAGAGCTGGTGCCAGAGCCGATGTCCCAAACACAAGGCTGTGCTCTGTTATATGCCTGGCATGGACTAAATGCTTTAAGTCCTTTAACTCTTACAGCCACTACTACAGTTATACCTACTTTGTGGGTGGGGAAACTGAGGCTCAGAGACAACTGATGAGTCGCCCAGGTCCGTGCACCTGCTAAGTGACAGATCTAGGTGGGTGTGGTTTCATGGCTTGAGCTCTTAGCTCTGAATTATAGTTTTCCCAAATGGAGATGTTTTCCATGCCCCCTGTGCCCTAATCTGAAGATGGCTGACACTGAAATCTGAGCTTTCTTTTAGGAGTGGGCAAGACCCCTGCCTCCCAAAAGAACTTACAGATTCTGGGCTCCTGTGTCAAAGGTTTGCCTGGATTTTGGCTAACCAGAGGTGGAGGGAAGGCATACCAGAGGCTGTAAGAAGCCCAGGGAGGGGCGCTGGGGCTCAGAGGTTAAGGGTATCGAGGAGTCCCTTGCAGTGGCCAAAGCTCCCCTGGGAACAAAGGGGCCTAGCCTCAAGGCCTCTGGTTTCCAGGGCAGATGCCTCCAGCATACCAAGGACCCTTGGCCGGCCCTGGGCCCGGCTCTGCCAGGCTGGCAGGAGAGTACGGGCATTTCTAGGAGCGCCTGACTTCCTCCATTTTCCAATTCCCATGCCCTGACTCTGCCCTCCTAGAGGGACAGGGGGGTGGCCTGTGGCTGGGCCTTCATACACATTCCCCTCCTGTGTGTCCAGGCTGTACCTTGTGAATCTGAGTCCTACTTTCTTAGGGATTTATAACACTGAGATGCTTTAGTTACTTACGATTTATTGGCAAAGACAGCAGCTTCCAATCCTGGCCTTACATTTCTTTGGGTAAGGGTGGGGAGGGGACATGGGGGGAAGAAACTGAAATGGTCTCCTCCCTGAAAGATGCTCCTCTTTAAAGAAAACCTTGGATGAATTTGGCTTTTGGAACTGGAATCCTAGAGTTGAGTGAAAACTCTTTAAGGCTTGTTTCCTGTCTTGGTGGGGACCAAAGGGTGTTGAATGGAGTGGAAGAAGGAGTGGGTCAGGGCGGAGGATTGTGCATGGGCGTTAGAGCATACCACCTGGGCTGGAATCCGCTCTACCCCTTACTAGGGGTGTGAGCTTGTGAAACCTCAGTTTCCTAATCTCTAAAATGGGGCTATGAACTCATAGGATTGGCGTGAGGACTAAATGAGCAGATGCTTGTGAAGGGAGCATCTGCCTGGGAGGAACATCTTGAATGCCCTGTAAGTGCTTGTCTTCTTTCATTTTATTTAACCCGTAGGGCCCAGAACAGTGGCTGGTTCATGCTAGATAACTAACAGACGCTTGTGAATAAACACAAAGGAAGTACAGCCAAATGAAACTGCATCACAGCTGAAGTATGGACCCCCTAAATAGCTTAAAAATATTACCTTGCACTAATACTGATGGCATTTCCCTATCTGTTCTCTAAAGGCATTCACATTTGTCTTGGGACCCTTGGGTAGGGCGGGCCTGCACTTGGCAAAGGAGTCACATTTAATGCAGAGAAGCTGTTCTCTCTGGGTACCTCATGGAACCCTGTTGATGGAGATGGCATCTTTTTCTGCCATGGGGTGAGGCAGAGGTGGGATGGGATGTGGTCAGCGCTCTGGTTTTCCTCTGATCACATTGGAAGTTCCCAGGAGTCTTCACTCTGCCTTTCCCCTATTTACTGCCACCTGGTGATGTGGTACTGCTTCCCCTGGGTACCAAGTGGAGTTCCATACTTAAAACAGGACTCCTGGGCCCCAGAGCCTCAGCTGGCGCACTGCTATCTCAGCCCAGCCTTGGTGCCCCTCCCCAAGCTTCAGCATGTCTCTTCCCCACTAACCTGATGGTGCAAGGGCCACAGCATTGGCCTGAGTCTGACCCAGAGGGATTCGAGTCTCTGCTACTTCATACTTGACCATGCTTGTTTACTTAGTCTTTGCGCCTTCGTTTCATCATCTCAACAATGGGAGTGAGGACCCCGGCCTTCCAGAGGGGGCTGTAAGGAATAACGCAGTGTGCAGGGTTGGGTGAGTGCACTGAGCCAGGCAGTGCTGCAGGTTTGTGAACTGAGGACCCACTTGCCTCGCCCCCAAAGGAGTCGTGCCAAGTAGCAGGATGTGGGAAGAATATTCACAAAGCACCAGAGTTCATCCCACCAGCCATGAGCCAGTAGATCAATCAGACCAGACAGCAAAGGGAAGACACATGCTCTGTCTCAGAAACCATCTGAACGTCCCCATCTAATGCCCAGTTCCTCTCACGACAATTCACAAAGGAGCCAGGGACGTTAATTGAATGCATGTTTGCAGGCCAAGTCTGGGTAAGCTGGAGGAACGGTCAGTCATGTCTGTCATGTCTTCGTAGAGGGAGGGAGCAGGGGCTCCGGTGAACCTGCTGGGAGGGGACTAAGCCAGGTGTGTTAGTTCAGGCAGCTTTCTCCGCATCTCTGTACCCCGGCTTTCTCGCCTGGTTGATGGAGACAGTCCTGGTTTCCATGTAAAGTTCGTGCGAGGAATTAATGAGCTCGCACTGGTAAAGGGTTTAACACTTAATACATATCCCTTCTTTTTCATCCCTTCCTCTTCTCTCTGCCCCATCTGGGTTCTCTGGGGCCATTGCTGTATTCAGTAGGCGCTTCCCAAGATAGCGCTGCGCAATCTTGGTGTTTTAACCTAGAATCTGCAAAGAGCATCAAGGTCGGAAATCCGCCCTGGTCCACTTTTGCTTTGAATTTCAGGTAACTGTTCTCCTCTCTCCACGTACTTGGAAGGAGACCTCACTTCCTGGCTGTCCCTTCCTCGCTGTCCTCAGTGTGTGGGCTTTCTCGACTGAGCTGCCATTTCCACCTGGAGGTCTGGGGTGAGTCCCTCACCCTTGCTGACTTCTGCTAAACCCCTTCTTGGGGAATCATTGAATGAGATGAATTTTAAAGAATCAGAATGCTCTGTTGATTATAAATGTAGAACCTATCTGGAGTGTGCCCTGGCCCCCTTTTCTGGGATAACTTGAACTCTGTTCCATTGTTGGGCACTATGCACTGTGTCTGGTTGGGTCAGTCTGTCAGCAAAGCTGAACAGAGCTAGCCAGGCTTAGGGGTGTTTGTGGCCAGTGGATTTCTTTGCAGCTCCCTTGGGTAGCAGCTGGGAGGGATGACTCCCTGGGGTGGTTGCCTTTGTGAGGCACCAACTCTCAGTCAGCTGGGCATGCAAGCTCGCCAGCTTCCTGCCCACTGAGGCCTGGTGTGAGCACAGGGACAGTGGCTTGCTAGGAGGGTATGGGTAGGGGGTGGAAGAGGTGGGTGAAGGGGGTGGGATGCAGCCCAGGACCCAGAGGGCAGGACCCATAGGGGCTCAGAGATGGCACTGGGTTATCTGGAGCCCTGAGTCAGTGAGAGATCTGGGAGAGCTGGCAGGGCCTCCATTGCCCAGGCCTGGGGAGCAGTCTGTTGGGCACAGGACACAGAGGAGAAGGGGTGGGGAGGCTCTGGGAGACCCCACTTCAGAGCCTCCTCTCTGTCTCCTGGCAGTCTGCTGGCCACAGGGCTGCTCTCCAGGCTGTGACTGCTGACTTGGCCAGGAGACCTGGCAGCTGTGGACTCCCCAGCTTGGAACAGCCTCTCTTTGGTAAGTATTGGTGCTCTCCCTGCATTCACCCTTGGAGTACCCCCGGGCCTCCCCCAGGGCTGCTAGCTGAGCTGGCCTCTTTTGGGAGTGACTTTCAGATGCTCAGGTTTGCTCCTGGCCTGGGACCCCTGGCACACCCTCCCCATCCCCCACACTTTCTCCCTTCCTTGAGATGCCCCTTCTTTTTCATCCCTTCCTCTTCTCTCTTCTCCACCTGGGTTCTCTGGGGCCATTGCTGGATCAGTGAGGTCCCTGAGCTCACCTTATGGGCAGAAGGGGGTGAGGGCCTAAGGGTGGAGGCATCTGAGGTCTGGCTGGGGATGGGGGTAGCTGGAGGAGCCGGTTCACTCTGCTGACATGGGGGTCATTTTCCCCAGGGCCTGGACCCCTCCCCGAGGGGCCAGGAGCAAATTCTGGAGGGCGCTGGAGCCTGGAAAGGGATGCTTCTCAGCAGCCCCTGAACCCTATCTCTGCTCTGAGCCAGTTGACTCTTAGAGACTCTGTGAGCCCAAAGAGTCCTCATCTGGAAGCTGGTGGCCTGCATCTGTAAATTGGGGGAGGGGGGGTCGTACAGCTTGACATAGTTATCCATCTTTCCCCGCCCAGTGGGCAAGGGCGAGCAGAGGCTGGCAGCCCACCAACTCATGGTGTACAGGGCTTATTTTCTGCACAGGGGCTGGAGTTAGGAAGCAGCATCTGAATGGACTCTTATTCCTCCTGGGGGTGGGCAGGAGCTGGAGGAAAGATGGACCACATGGGGAACTGGGTGCCAGCTCATGGGGGTAGAAGAAGATGCAGGTGGGCCCAGGAGATGTTGGCAGGGGGTGATAGACAGTGATGAGGGATGGCTTGAGGTGGAAACTGGTCATTCCCTAAATGGGGGAGTTGGGGGAGTTAAGGTCTTGCACAGTCAGGCCCCACTCAGGACTCAGTTCATGATTGGAGGACCCTGAATTCTGGAGGTTAAACCCCAGGGTACAGGGATGAGTTCGTTTAGTCCCCAGTAGCCCCTAGGAGTCCCTAGAAAATAGTGAAGTCTACCACAAGAATCATTTTGGCCTTGGTGCATGGGTGGGCATTGGGGCACAGAGCTGGGGGTACTTCCCCCAGCCGGCTGGGGACCACCTCCTCCAAGGGAGCAAGCCAGTGCCCTGGCTGTGTCAGGCACAGAGTCTGGCTGCTCCCTGATGGCTGCCCACCTTTGCTTACAGACCTCACATGGTGGAGAAGCAGCCCCATGAAGGTGCCCAGCCATGCAATGTTCCTGGAAGGCTGTCCTCCTCCTTGCCCTGGCCTCCATCGCCATCCAGTACACAGCCATCCGCACCTTCACGGCCAAGTCCTTCCACACCTGCCCTGGGCTGGCCGAGGCCGGGCTGGCGGAGCGGCTGTGCGAGGAGGGCCCCACCTTCGCCTATAACCTCTCCCGCAAGACCCACATCCTCATCCTGGCCACCACGCGCAGTGGCTCCTCCTTCGTGGGCCAGCTCTTTAACCAGCACCTGGACGTCTTCTACCTGTTTGAGCCCCTCTACCACGTCCAGAACACGCTCATCCCCCGCTTCACGCAGGGCAAGAGCCCCGCGGACCGGCGGGTCATGCTGGGCGCCAGCCGTGACCTCCTGAGAAGCCTCTACGACTGTGACCTCTACTTCCTGGAGAACTACATCAAGCCGCCGCCCGTCAACCACACCACCGACAGGATCTTCCGCCGTGGGGCCAGCCGGGTGCTGTGCTCTCGCCCCGTGTGCGACCCTCCGGGCTCCGCGGACCTGGTCCTGGAGGAGGGGGACTGCGTGCGCAAGTGCGGTCTGCTGAACTTGACGGTGGCCGCGGAGGCCTGTCGGGAGCGCAGCCACGTGGCTATCAAGACAGTGCGGGTACCTGAGGTGAACGACTTGCGGGCCCTGGTTGAAGACCCCCGGTTAAACCTCAAGGTCATCCAGCTGGTCCGAGACCCGCGTGGCATCCTGGCTTCCCGCAGCGAGACCTTCCGCGACACGTACCGGCTCTGGCGGCTGTGGTACGGCACCGGGAGGAAGCCCTACAACCTGGACGTGACGCAGCTGACCACGGTGTGCGAGGACTTCTCCAACTCCGTGTCCACCGGCCTTATGCGCCCGCCGTGGCTCAAGGGCAAGTACATGCTGGTGCGCTACGAGGACCTGGCCAGGAACCCCATGAAGAAGACCGAGGAGATCTACGGTTTCCTGGGCATCCCCCTGGACAGCCACGTGGCGCGCTGGATCCAGAACAACACGCAGGGAGACCCCACCTTGGGCAAGCACAAATATGGCACCGTGCGAAACTCGGCGGCCACAGCCGAGAAGTGGCGCTTCCGCCTCTCCTATGACATCGTGGCCTTTGCCCAGAACGCCTGTCAGCGGGTGCTGGCGCAGCTGGGCTATAAGATGGCCACCTCGGAGGAGGAGCTCAAGAACCCCTCCATCAGCCTGGTGGAGGAGCGGGACTTCCGCCCTTTCTCGTGACGAGGGCTCCGTGGGTGGGGGCGAGGGGCACATGGTGTCGGTTTTGATAAAATGGACCGTTTTTAACTGTTGCCTTATTTCCCCTTCACTCTCCCACCCGGTCTTTGTGTCCTACCTGCCCCCCTCCCCTCTTCTGCCTCTCTTTGTCTCTGAAATTTGCACTACGTCTTGGACAGGAATCACTGGGGGCAGAGGGGATGTGAAGTGGGGTCCAGCCCCCACCCCACCCCACCCATTCAGACATGCTGATATTGGGTCTCTGGTGGACGGTGACAATGTTTACAAGCACCACACTTCTACATTCACATACACGCGCGCGCACACACACACACACACACAAACTCACACACACACACAGGCGCCCACGAGGAGAGACACCCCAAACCACACAACTTCTGAAGCATTTTGAATGGGCGAGTGGTCAGGGTATGGTAGTTTTTGCACTGTCTTACTGCTACAAGGTAAGAGGTTAAAATCAAAAAGGCCACCTCTCTCTAATTTGTGTCTATCTCTCCCCATCCTGCTTCAGTTCCCAATGCCTACTGCCCCCTTTGGAGCAGAGAAACTGCCCCCTCCTGCCTGCCCTTGCCTGCCGGTGAGCAGGTTTTTACTGTGAGGTGAATGTGGACCTTGTTTATTTTTTCCAGTCTGTGGCAATGCTATTTGTCTGTCTGTCTCTGAGTTTTGTGGCTGCCCCGGACCAGTGATGACTGATAAATGTTATGGGTTTCTGATCGATCTTGGGGTCCATCTGTGATATTTCTTTGTGCCAAAAAGAAAAAAAAGAGTGGTTCAGTTTGCTAATGAACATTGAAATGCATTATCTGTGTTTTCTGTAAATAAAAGAGTGCTGTAATGTCTGGGTGTGATTGTGGGACATTCTGAATGGGCAAGAAACATCTAGACCCCACCAAGGTGTTTCTGGCTTTGGAAGAGGAGAGAGAAGGAGATGGAGGTGGGAATTCAGTGACCAGTCTCTGGCTTTCAGAACTCATGTCACTCTCATCACCCTCAACACCGAGTTCAGGGTTTCATTTCCCCTCAATCAGTTGAGACCAAGCACCTTACAGCCAGGGGTGACCTTCAGAATATTTACCAAGTAGTATGATTTGCCTGGTAATCCTGATGAGGTCCTGGTCACCTTTTTCTGTGCCAGATGTTACCCCTTTAACTGCTGGACCTGGGGCCAGGATAGCCAGGGAAGGGAACTATTCAAGGTGTGGGTTGGCTCAGGGCAGTGGTCTGGAAGCATTTCAGTATTTTAACACCTAGTGCTGGCGTACTGGGGTCTACACTGGGGGAACATCAACCTTGCTTACTTCCTTCCCATCCTTGGCAATCTAGCAGCTTCCTCCAAGCAGCTTCCTCAGCTCTTATTCCAAGAAAACAGCTGTCCCCTGGGGTGGAGTTCACAGTTTTGTTGTCCTGAGACAATGAGAGTGTCTAGGATTAGGCAGCCCCAGTGGTTCTGGGCTTCCTGAGGAAACCAAGTCCTGGGTCGTATTACATGATTCAGCGGCTAGAGCAAACACCATAGATAATAGTAGTTTAATCAAGAAAGGCAATTTAACGGTGCGTGCAGGCTGGTCAGAGCTGTCATAGTGGCTCCCAGGCTGTGTGCCCAGATATTAGGGGACTTGGCTCCTTCCATGTTGTTTGCACCCTACAGTCCTAAGGTGTTACTTTTGGCTTTATGGTCCAAGATGTCTCACCAGGCAGTGGGAAGGAGAGAAAAACAAGAAAGGACACACGTCTGCTATTTGTGAGCAAACCCCCCAAAGTTATAGATATCACTTTCATTCATGCCTCATTGGCTGGAACCTGGTCACATGGCTATATTTAGATGCAAGGGAGGCTGGGAAATGTAGTCTTTTATTTGGGTGGCCATGACTATTAAAGTGGCCAATAGTCAAAGGCTTATCTTCCTGGACTTCAGGTTTCTTTTCTACAAAAGGGAGACAGATTTACATCCTCATATTTCAAGACCAGGAAGCTGGCTTGGAGAAGTCTCTGCCAGGACTGGTGGGTGCAGCCTGGAGCTTTCAGTGCCCTCTTTGCACCTCTGGTTCACAGGCGCTTCTTCACAGGCACTTCTTCTCCAGCCTATGGTAAGGGAGCCAACGTGTAAGTTGGCATCAGTGCCCAGATAATCAGTGCCTTGCTCTTGGCCAGTTGGTTCTAGCACCTAGAGAAGGCCTGCTCCAAAGGAGGCCATGGCTGGCTAGTTCTTTTCCTGTTACAGTAAATGATGTTGTGGTGCTTATGTCCCAAAGAGCTCCCTTCTCTTTGCTATTTGATTGTCCTGCTTTGGATTATTCCAGAGCCTGGAAGCCTGTATTCTGTGGGTGGGTGGCTTCATGCTGGAACCATGAAACACTGGAGTTTCTGGGCTGCTTAGAAAGAACCCCTCCCCTTGACTTTTATGGCAAAAGACTTTAATAATGTTGCTGGGGTTTTCAGAGAAAAGCCCTTTTTAGTGATGGAATCATTCATTCATTCAAGTATTGCTGACTCTTCTATATACAGGCCCCAGGGTTATGGGTATTCCTTCAAGAAAGTCAGTCTAGTGGGAGACAAACAGGTAAATAGATGATTACAATGTGGGCAAAGCACTGTCCCCACAGGTGTATGCTGCACAGGCAGGGCTGGGCCCCACACTCACTTGGTCCTAGAAACCACAAGGCCACATAATGGGTCACAGGCTTAGTCCCTCAGTGTCATGGCTCATTCAATATGTCTGTTCTTGGGGCTTACAGAAATCATGGGGAGCTTCTCTGAGGTGGAAGTGGCTGAATTGAGAGTCTTGGGAACTGGTCCTATGGAGGGGGTGAGAAGATGATTCTGAGGTGAGGGAGAAGCAGGTGCAAAGAGACATTGGCAGGAAGGTATGGAGCATTTATAGCTGTGTAGGCTGCGGGCAGGGATGTGTGGGGCAGACCATGCATGTGTCCTGCTGTCAGCTTCTCAAGCTTGGAAGAGAAGGTCACCCAGGGTAGTTCAGCCTTCAGGGGATTTATTTATGATGACCAAAACGACATGACAGAGAATATCAGAAACCAAAGGGCTGGCCTGCTTTCAGAGTAAAGAGCAAGTTCTTAGAGTGCTCTTGGGGGCCCCTTCACATTTCACTCTCTAGTCTTTGTGATTTCTTTTAATTCCTTGAACACACTGGGATAGATTATTGTGGTTACAGTCCCCAATTCATTTACACCTCCCTGAAACCACACCCTTGGGTAATGCCCTCCCTCCCACACTGATCTGAGCTGAGCCATGTGCCTTGCTTTGGCCAGTGGGACAATAGTCAATGTGATGGATACTGAGGCATGAAAAGTACCTGAACTTTGAAACTTGTCCTTTTCTGCTGTCTTTGGAAGCCTAGGGTAGCTTGCTAGAAAATAACAGACCATGGGGTAAAGAACCAAAGAGCCCCAGCCAATGGTCCCATCAATTCCTCACTGACTTGGCAACTGATGCAGGAGCCCAGGTGAACCCAGTCAAGGTCAGTACACAATCTGACCTAGATTGTTAGAACGTCCTAGCTGAACTCAGCCAAATTTCTGACCTACAAAACTGATGGTTAAAAAAGTGGTTGTGGTTTTAAGCCACTAAATTTTGGATTGACTTGTTATGCAGCAGAAGCTAACCGATACACACAGCACTCTGTCTCATTGCAGGGTCTTTGCCTCAATCACTCCTTGTGCCTGGATTATGCTTCTCCCCCTCTTTACCTATTTAATGTCCATTTATTCTCTGGATCTCAGCTTCATTATCAAGAAATACTTCATTGGTTTTGTCAGATTAGTTCAGTTATCCTGATCACAGTCTCTTATATAACTGATTGTGTATCATATACTCTGATTATAGGCCCTTAGGCACCAAGCACCTCTCTTTTACAGTGTTCACCACAGTTATAATCACACTTTTTATTACAGGACCTGGCATGCAATAGCATCCGATAAACATTGGTTGCATGAATAAAACAGATGCTTCCTATCTAATAAAAGAACTTACTTGTCTTGGGCCTTCACTAGGGGTTGGGCAAGGCCTTTTAGGGATTTGAATGAGAATGGAGGCAGCTAATGCCCTCCCAGCCTGTTTCTCACAAGTTATTGGTGGGGCGGGGTTGGGACGGGGGTGGGGGGTGGGGGGGTAGGGTGTTGAGCTAGGTTTTGTTCCAAGAATCCACATCACCCCCTTGTAGTCAATTCTTTCTAACTCTGCACACCGACACTGACTCTCCCACTTCTTTGTCGCGGTGCCATCACCTGTTTTGCCACTTGTTACAATTTCCGAGGTTAATGCTCCGAAGGAGAATAAGAGTGAACAGACACATATACAGAATTTTACAGTTTACAAAGCACTCTTCCCCCTCCTATTAGTCACACCTCGCCGGCGGCTGTTTCCTGATGACACAGAGGCACCTTTTTCTAGCCAGGAAATGGTGGTCAGAGCACCACGTCAGCAGGGCAGGCCCCACCCCCACCTCTTCTGTGTGTAGCGCCTTGATGGCTTAGATCCTAAGGACTAACTTCCTGGTCTCACCCCCATACTCAGGGCCCCTCTCACCCACAGCTCTAGGGGCCATGGGCTGCCAATTTTTTTCATCACAGACTTCCTCTGTTTGTGTGTTCCCCACCTGCTCACCCTTGTTGCTTTCCTTGCAACAGCAGACACTCTGGCCTCCCCCATGCACTTCCCCGGAGCTCTGTGGAGCTCGCTGGGCACCACTTCCTATCATTCCAAACGGTATTGTTCAGAAGCAACCTGCCATTCCTGACTTATCCCTCCCTGGGGAAGAATTTCTCCCTGCTCGAATGCCTTTCCTGGTTGGGAAGGATGAAGATGTGAAACCCCTTCACAGACCCATTGAGAAAACATACAGGCCGGGAAACAGGTTGGAACGAAGTCCCCACAGGCAGGTAGCCAAGGTTTGGATGCACCAAGGGGTAAAGCGGCAGCCATGGACTGAGCGGTCACTGGCGTGGGCTGTGTGTGTGTGTGTGTGTGTGTGTGTGTGTGTGTGCGCGCCACCCAAACCTCCAATCTACTTACCCTGCCTCCCTCTCGTTGCACTTTCTGCTTCGTGAGTTGTCACCTGCTGATGACTTGTAATTGCAATAAGTCCTATTCATCTTGGGAACTGTTGTGATAAAATGCTTGATTTTTGGTTCCAGTCACATCTTTGGCACTGCTTGCTGTGTGATCTAGCGCCCATCCCTTAATCTTTCTCAGCTTCCATGTTCTTATCTGTACAGAGAACAACCTTATGATACCTGCCTCAGAGGGCTTCTCTGAAGATTGCATAAGGTAATGCATGTAAGTGCGGAGCGCCACACTTGGTGTATAGGGAGTGCTCAGTGAATGCTAGCCATTATCATCCTCATCACCATCATCATTATCATCACCATCATCATTGTACCCACTGTTCCTAGCAGGGTGCCTGGAATATGGCAGCTGCTCAATGAATATTTGTTGAATGAATACTTTTGTATGTGTGTGTGAACTCTTCTAATTTGAACTGCTGTCAATGTACAAAGTTACACCTGAATAAAATGGCAAAATGGCACAGGAGCCTATGCGGTCTCTTTATCAGCCAAGGCCTAGACCCGAGGGCTAACTAAGGGGAGAGACGAGCTAGAAATGCCTGAAGAATGGCTGCTAAGCATAGGGAAAAGCTGGCTGACCCATAGGATGGTACCTGTAGGCTTAAGGTAAACCTCAGGAGTAGAAAAAGTAGAAGTTGGCTGAGTTGACCTGCCATCTTCTGGCCAATTTCCCAAGATTGTCTAACTTCCTGGCTGCCTGGGGTGGCCCCACATCAGCTGCTCAGCTGCTACATCTAGGTCAGATGGACTTGACC